TCCTACATTTACAAGAAGAAGTTATATCTACGTATATCCTTCACTTGAAAGAAGGAGATATATATCTTCCTATATCCCTCACTTGTGGGAAGAAGATATATCTTCCTATATCCCTCACTTGTGGGAAGAAGATATATCTTCGTATATCCCTCACTTGTGGGAAGAAGATATATCTTCGTATATCCCTCACTTGTGGGAAGAAGATATATCTTCCTATATCCCTCACTTGTGGGAAGAAGAATATATATCTTCGTATATATTTCACTTAATGAAAATATACCTTTCAATATCCTTCACTTGAAGGTAAGAGATATGTCTTCGTATATTTTATTTTTATTTATTTATTTATTTATATTTACAAGAGTTCTCACATTCTTGTAATGCCATTAGCACGCATAGTATTTTGGGCAGGTCCTTAATCCTAGTTTTCCCCGGAATACGACCCGTCAATTCATTTAACAACCAGGTACCCATTCACTGATGGGTGGACAGAGGCGTACAGTTAAGGATTGGTGCCTAGTCAATCCTCCCCGGCAAGGATACGAACCCAGGCCAAATTGTTCGGGAAACGCCGGCCGAGTGTTTTATCATTGCGCCACGGAGACTGACTTGAAGGAAGGAGATATATCTTCCTATATCCCTCACTTGATGGAAGGAAGGAGATATATCTTTGTATATCCTTCACTTTAGGGAAGGATATGTATAACTTCGTATATTCTTCACTTAAAGGAGATATATCTTCAATATCCTACACCTGAAGGAAGGAATATATCTTCCAATATGCTTCACTTGAAGGAAGGAGATATATCTTCCTATATCTCTCGACTTAATGAAGAATTAATTAATATGACCCAGACTCCTTGACGTCCAAGTACTGTGTATCAGCTCTTTTAGTCTTGAAGGAGAGTTACTCCGAAGGTAACTTGGCAACGATGTTGCCTAACTCATAACACCAGTGTTGATATACATATATTCCCTTTCCTCATATTTCTCAACATAATTATATTTATTGAAGAATAAAATTATGAACTATATGGTAATTCTCCTACAGATTATGGAAATACAATATTTGAGTAATTTATCACAATTACAAAGCAAGGAGACGAATCTAGACAATAATTTTGGATGTGAGTGAGGCTCCTCCATTACTGCCAGGCACCAAGTATATACATTGCTGGTTATTGTATTTATGTCCGCCATAACTCCCCGCGGGACACCCCGGTGCCAATATTACCAATAATAGTGTTAAGAGATAGGGGTGTCCATAATGTTCACTGATGCTAGTATGGACAAGTGTGGCACTTCTCCTGCCCAGGCATTGGTGGTTCTGATAATGCTATGTATCACATTCCTATTTATCGTAGACTTTCTTCGGGGGAAACAAGACAAAGCTTAATAACTCCTCAACCAATTCCAGTTGAGTAAAACACCATTATCACCAAATAATTATTTAGGTTAACCTGTGTTTTAATTGTTTTAAAATGTTGTGTCTTATTTGTTTATTTTTTTAATTAAAAGCTTTTGCTATAATAATTTTATTATTTATTGATATATCTGGGAATTACTTGAGAAAGTCATACAGTAAGAGATGCACAATAACAGATGCCATACAGGTACGGGAAGGCAAACTTAACTTGTAAGAGAGAGAGTCAGAACACTTGTGTTCATACGGTTTTTAGATTAAAACAACAGACATACAAGTTAGGAGCAAACAGAGGATTTCACATTTAAGGAGGAGTAAACAAGTTATGCAGGAGCAAATAATTTAGCACAAGCAAGCAACAAACATATGATAGAGAGAGAAAAAACAAGTACTGCGGGCCATATATCAGTGGATATGACAGTAAAGAGCAGACAATAAAGACAACGATATACAGAAACATTATGGTATGAGGATCTTTAATAACAGGTAACGTCTAACCTAAATGGACTTCATCAAATCTGAGATCCACAGAGCGAGTGTTTATAAATGGGAAAATTTGAAGAAGGTGAAATCAGGCTTGATGTGATTAGTGAAGATGATAGAATATTATCATTTATATTTCTAAAGTATTAATTCCAACATGTGGCAAATGCGTTGTGTTCTGCCCTGAGGTGGTTGAGAATTTTGGGACTTAAACTTCCAAAAGAGAGCTCTGATTATTGCACCAGACTGTTATTTGCAAAATCATCGTCCCCAACCACTCTCTGATGGAACAATCAACCGATCTCGGCAGCCACACAACCACTACCGTCGGTCGACCAACAATAGACACTGGAGTGCTTGTAATTTACTCAGGAGATCACCCTGTACGCCTCTTGATCTTGGAGAGGGGTTCGGCATTACATATATATGGGTGGGGCTCCAACACTGGCGTCGTTGTCTTGTGTACACACCCTACTCGAGCCACACTCTCTCCTTGTTTGGAATGATCTCCTAAATCCCTCTTTGGTGAATTAGTATCTTCTGCCACCTTGTCCGCAGCCGTGACCCCCCCCCCCCCCTCTCCTCTCTTTCGCTTTCTGGGAAACCTTACCAGGACACGAGCAAAAGCCAACTAACATATACATTTAATATATAAAAACATACATAATACATGACATATACAATAGAACATTATCATACAACCCTCTAAACTGCTACAACTCGGTAGCAATCCAATATCATATCCAGGCTTCACCAACTGTCCATATCAAGTGGCTCTTCAACTCTTGGGTTACCACTTACTACTCCCTCACTAAATGGGGCTAAAATCCTGCCACAGCAATACTGTATCTTCGGCCCTAAAAGTATATGAAACTCAGCTAAGGGCTGAAACTCCAGAAACATCAACATAAGTATTCCCCAACAAAAGAAGAAATCATCCACCTTACACAGTCTTACAAGCCAATAAACAATCAAGCACTTCCTTTATACAATTACGAGTGTCCACCATGGAACTCTGTTCTACTCCTAGAGTCTCGCCACCAATACATATCTCTAGGTCCTCCAAAATATCAGGAAAGGCACTTCTGCAGTTCTCCCAATCTGCTGCTCAATGAAGTCCCAATCCAACATCAGTGACGCTTCACCACTGATTCCACAGAGACACGTGTAGCTCCTCTACACAGCTTGAAATCAACTCCTCACTATGGAGTTATGATCTATTTCAGAGTTCAGCATTCACTTTTTCTCCAGCCTTGAAGTTTCTCCATCAACTTCTTTTCTAACCTCGAAGTTTCTCCATGAACTCCTTCCCAAACAAACCTGCAATTCCATTATAATGCCAATAAAAATGTTTTCCAAACAAAACATAATTAAATGTATTCACAGAAAATAAAGTCTTACATCCTCCATCCATATGCCGGCACTATGACTCCGCCGATATGGGTCCTCCCCCCTCTTGGGCAGGTCCACCTGGGAATATGTCTTGATGCGTCGTGCTCCCATCGCAACGCTAGGGGGACTTCCCCCCTCAGTCATCCACTGACCTTCAGGGAGGGTGGACATACCACCGCTCCCTTCAGCATGTCCTCCCAACTTTAACTCCTTATTTTAGCTCACTGTCTTAATAAAATATCAATTTTACGTACACATATGTTCACTATGATCGTTTGGCTCATGATCAAACACAAGTGGCTATATTAACAACTGATTAAACAGGCTTACCTCCGAAATCTCTAACGTGAGGACACTCACTCACTGGAGCTCAAACCTGGCACTCTCATAGGACACCCACAAAAATGCATCAGGACTGCCTCAAAAAGCTTCCTCCAGTTCACGACTTGAGTTTACAACGTCGCCTGGCAGGCTCCACAAAAGAACGCCTGATTACTTCCTTCCTCTTGAAGCCACACTAATTTGAGTTTCACCAAGGCACGACCAACACTCACTTGCTGGTCGCCTCTAATTTACCAAAATCACAGAGAAACGGTGTACTATGTCCCCAACAGCCTCCTCATACTTGCAGACAAGTAGTCATCATTCCAGCACTAACACAGGGAACTACATTCTTCCTTATTCCGGGAAAATCAACGAAATACAACAACCTCTGACAACAGTTGCGACTCAAGTGAGGTTACAACCTCCTGCTAACCTCACTTCACGTCCCCGCAAAGTATCGACATCTCATTTTATGTCATTTATTATATATTTAATATATATATCTTTCCTATGACCTCTCAATCAGGTCTGGATGGCACAATAACTCTCAGAAAGGTAGATTCGTTCCACCCAGGCTACATGGGGTCATAACAGCTGTTGGTTTGATGGAGCCATCAGGCAGAACTAACCACAACACCGTCACAACAACACTGCACCCCGTGATAGTTTTGACAAACTAAATGGGGATGAAACATCCTGAAATATTGACTTAATTTTACGACCTCTAAATTGGGAGTTGGGTGGCAACCACCGGCCGGGTCGGATGCTCCTGAGGTCTCTCCGCTCCTGGCTAGGGTTTACGTTGGACGATTGCTGATTGCCCTGCCTGGTGGTGGTTTGCCACTGACAGGGTGACGTTTGGATTTGCTATGGGGACTTCTCGGCCTGCAGTGAAGAAGACATTGTCGGCTGGTCTGGCATTTACAGTGCCGGTGGACCATCTGTTGGTTGGTGTGGCCCTGGTGGACGTACTCCAAGTGCAACTGTCAGACTTCGTGGCATCCAGCTGCTTCAGAGAAACCGTGCTGTGGTCAAGTTCCACCACTAGGCTGCCTTTCAGATGTTTCAAGGGCGGTGTGAGGGGCGTGTTTACCCTGTCCCAGATATCGCTGTTTCTGTTAAAGTGGTATATCTTAGTGTCGCCTTGACGTATGTGGCGGTACATGATGTCCCCTTCGAATTTCAGGACGATCTTTTAACCTCCTGTTTTCAGCGGTTTAGGACTGTGTTAAGTGTTCGTTGGAACAAGGTCCTTGCCGGGAACTGTGCTGGTATGCTTGACGGCTCCCGCACCCTGATGATGTCGCTGAAGTGTACTGTCGTCGGTGTCCGTGTTGGGTTACACACTCCGCTGCCTGTATCGGGGGTAACCACGCACCTGTTATAGGTGTAGTCACGTGGGTCATCTGGCTGCAGTGTGCGACGTGGGAGCAACTGGTAGAGTGCATATTTTTCGTGAACAGGATTTTTCTCCTCTGTTGCATTCGGATGGTTCTGAGGACGGTGTGGGTCCTGTGCCTCAGACGTCTGATTGCCTGTCTGCTGCTCCGCCTGTTGCGGCGGGTTCTGTGGCTTGCGAAACACGTCTGGTAACTGCAGTGGCCTCTGGGGTTGATGAGCCGGTGTGTGTAGATGTCGGGCCGTCTCCTTCACTGCATGTAGTGGAGATGTCCCAGTGGAGGTCCATGTCCCATCCCCACCTGTGGATGTGGTCATGGCTTCTGGGGGCGCGGCTTCTTCTGTTTTTGGAGGGGGCGTTTCGGCCAGAGCAGGTGCCTGCCATGCCTGTGTATCTTGACGACTGTCGTTCTGATGCTTCCATTCCTTTGCAGAAACGTGCATGCCGGTGTTCCGAGGCTGTTTCCCTATATGACGTCGACCGTGTGGGCGATGTGGTCTCTGTGGATTCTTCGGACAGTGTGGGTGTGGACCGTGTAGATGCGGTAATGGTGACCGTGCTTGCGGAGGGGCCTGGTGGGAGTGGTGTGGTGCAGCCTCGAAGCGATCGTGGTGGGCTCGGAGTGTCTCCCCTTCATGATGTGCCTACTATCAAGAAGAAGAAGAAGACCTTTAAATTAGCAAAGAGAATTTTAAGAGCATAAGTATGCCTGCTGTGTCGACAAGAGCAATGTTTGTGTCGGAAGAACTGGGAGACGTGCCTCATGAACTTCACAGATGCTAAACTTCTCATCAAAGAAGAACACAGCATTAGGAAATATTCTGTAGCTATGAAACGATCAGCTCGAACGAAAATGATCACTGCTCGTGTTAAAATAACACTTTATAAATATAGTAAACAGTAAAACACCATCTCTTACCTTTACCTTCCTGACCCCCCCCCCCCCCCCACAACCCCCTTTGGCTCCTTCGTAGGCACTAGTTCTGTTTATTCTTCACTCATATTTAAAATCCTTCACAGGGATTAATATCACATAATATTAAAGTCTACTCTAAATCAGGGAAATATTTCCCTGATTGCACGAAAAGGCATAAAATCACGGAGGAGCATGTATTTCCAGAGGTCCCACTCCAACGGAGGAGCACTCAAGCATGGAGCTGGCGTTCTCCTCCAAGCATGTGACAGAAACAATAGACGGGCTGCACAGGCACAGAGGAAACGCGCCACGCACAAAGCTAGAGCAACCTCCACCTTCGCAGTAGCACCCACCCGTATATGTCCCGTGTCAGGGCGAGCCTTCCAGACCCAGACTGGTCTCATCCAAGACCATCGGACTCACAGCCACCGATCTTCGGGAAACTGGTGAGCACTGTACACGGACAGGTGAGAACTGTACGGTGGACAGATGAGCACTGTACACGGACAGGTGAGAACTGTACGGTGGACAGATGAGCACTGTACGGGGACAGGTCACTACTACCAGGTGTGACTACATCAGAGCTGGTCACTACTGCTAGGTGTGGCCACAACAAAGCTGGTCAATACTGCTAGGTGTGGCCACAACACAACTGGTCACTACTACTAGGTGTGGCCACAACACAGCTGGTCACTACTGCTAGGTGTGGCCACAACACAGCTGGTCACTACTGCTAGGTGTGGCCACAACACAGCTGGACACTACAGCTAGGTGTGGCCACAACACAGCTGGACACTACAGCTAGGTGTGGCCACAACACAGCTGGTCACTACTGCTAGGTGTGGCCACAACACAGCTGGTCACTACTACTAGGTGTGGCCACAACACAGCTGGACACTACTACTAGGTGTGGCCACAACACAGCTGGACACTACAGCTAGGTGTGGCCACAACACAGCTGGACACTACAGCTAGGTGTGGCCACAACACAGCTGGTCACTACTGCTAGGTGTGGCCACAACACAGCTGGTCACTACTACTAGGTGTGGCCACAACACAGCTGGACACTACTACTAGGTGTGGCCACAACACAGCTGGACACTACTGCTAGGTGTGGCCACAACACAGCTGGTCACTACTACTAGGTGTGGCCACAACACAGCTGGACACTACTACTAGGTGTGGCCACAACACAGCTGGACACTACTGCTAGGTGTGGCCACAACACAGCTGGACACTACTGCTAGGTGTGGCCACAACACAGCTGGACACTACTGCTAGGTGTGGCCACAACACAGCTGGACACTACTGCTAGGTGTGGCCACAACACAGCTGGACACAACTGCTAGGTGTGGCCACAACACAGCTGGACACAACTGCTAGGTGTGGCCACAATACAGCTGGACACAACTGCTAGGTGTGGCCACAACACAGCTGGACACAACTGCTAGGTGTGGCCACAACACAGCTGGACACAACTGCTAGGTGTGGCCACAACACAGCTGGACACAACTGCTAGGTGTGGCCACAACACAGCTGGACACAACTGCTAGGTGTGGCCACAACACAGCTGGACACAACTGCTAGGTGTGGCCACAACACAGCTGGACACAACTGCTAGGTGTGGCCACAACACAGCTGGACACAACTGCTAGGTGTGGCCACAACACAGCTGGACACAACTGCTAGGTGTGGCCACAACACAGCTGGACACAACTGCTAGGTGTGGCCACAACACAGCTGGACACAACTGCTAGGTGTGGCCACAACACAGCTGGACACAACTGCTAGGTGTGGCCACAACACAGCTGGACACAACTGCTAGGTGTGGCCACAACACAGCTGGACACAACTGCTAGGTGTGGCCACAATACAGCTGGACACAACTGCTAGGTGTGGCCACAACACAGCTGGACACTACTGCTAGGTGTGGCCACAACACAGCTGGACACTACTGCTAGGTGTGGCCACAATACAGCTGGACACAACTGCTAGGTGTGGCCACAACACAGCTGGACACAACTGCTAGGTGTGGCCACAACACAGCTGGACACAACTGCTAGGTGTGGCCACAACACAGCTGGACACTACTGCTAGGTGTGGCCACAACACAGCTGGACACAACTGCTAGGTGTACTACTATACTACCCCTTCAATCCCCTAGTGTAATAGGCAAACATTCCCTCGTTAAGGCCCATTTCGCCACATGAAACTACTCAGAGGTTGTGCTCCTCAGATTGGTTTATGTGCGTGACAAATAAGCATTTCTCTCATGCTAAAGGAAGGATATAGTTTCTACCTAAAAATTAAAAACCAAAGATTTTGCAACATGTTTGCAAGTACTGAAGCTTCGTCTTATTCAAATGTCGTGATGCGTTGTTTCCACACAAGGCTTCGTAAGCGATGAGCACAGTCATGCTGAGGATGTTTAGTGAGGGTGGTAAGTCTAGTGGCAGCATACAGCTTTAATTTCCCACGCAGCTTGCCCCTACTGCCCTCCTGGCACCTCTCTCACACCCCCCCCCCCCAACCTACCACCACCTATTTTGGCACCCCACAACTCCCCCCTATCCTTCCTTTTCTTATCCTTCCTGCCCAACCATTTGGGGTGGACGGTAGAGCGACGGTCTCGCTTCGTGCAGGTCGGTGTTCAATCCCTGATTGTCCAAATGGTTGGGCACCATTCCTTCCCCCTCCCCCTGTCCCATCCCAAATCATTTTCTTGATTCCTTCCAAGTGGCATACAGTCGTAATGGCTTGGCGTTTTTTCGTGATAGTGCCCTTTGCTTAACCATATTTCTTCCGTTATTTGGTACTTCACAGTGCCTGTAGTGTAACCTTTGGTGTACCACTTCTGGTACAATTGTATGGACCTATAGCGTCGGAGGAGGGAATACAGAGCATTTAGAGAAAAATTTGCCATTTAACTCTAAATACGTATGAGTATTCACTTCTACCACCCCATTTTTTAATTATTTATATTGTACATTTTATTATATCAGGTTGCACAGTTACATACCTGATTAGTTACAAAAAAGTGGACATTAAGAGGAATTAAAGAGAAGTTTGTTTCCTAGAGGCTGCAGATTTCTTCGAACTCCTCCGACGCCGGGCAGGAACCGAGGATGCAGCAGACCGCCCAGCCATCGATAATTGGCGTAACATATCTATCATATTGTGAGTACATCACACGTGCAGTGAGTCGGATTACAAGTGTGTGATACATTCATTATTGTGCAGTGATATATGGGGAAATTACACCAGTGTTAGTGTCACCCTGACCCCTCCACCCACCCAGCCCCCAGGCCGGTCAGTACCTGCTCTCCCCCTCCTGCCCCACCCCACCGCGGCGCCTCCCCACCCACAAGGCCACCTTGCCACCCGCCCACAGAACCTGGCCACACCATCCACAACCGGGCCACCCCCTACCGAGCCACCCACCACCGCACCACCCACCCATTGCTTAGTTGGTATATACCCACCTATTGTGTAGTGGGTGTATACCCACCCATTGTGTATAGGGAGGTATATGTATTACCACTCATCTGAGTGTTAAGTGCCATGGCCAGCTGACCATCCCTCCAGCCTCCACCCATCGTCCAGCCTCCCGCCCAGCGCCCGCCCAGCGCCCGCCCATGTCGCAGCTCTCAACAGACAGTGAGGCTGCTCCAAGCCAAGATGATCCACCAAGCAGGGGTATACAAGGCAGATGTCAGACGTGTGAAAAAGAATGCTGTATCCGGTCGAGTGACGGTAATGTGCGCAATCATTTTCACAACGAAATGTTCATGGTGGATAGGGTGAATAGTTCTGTAATTTGGGTATTTCTGGTGGGTTGTTCTATTTTTATATGGATTGCTTCAAGAAATTGTAAACGTCTTACATCCGGGGTTTGTCTATTACGCAAGTGTTTTTGTTCAACATTTCTTTTGTTAGGGTGATGTCATGGGCTTGTCTCATGTGATTTTTGGGGACACCGGATTGAAGATGACAGGTCAAATGCCTAGCCAGCTTGGTCGACGTCATACCTGTTTACTTAGATTGAAGGTTACATCCTTCGTGGGGGCAGGTGTAAATATATACCACGTTTGACTGCTGTAGAGGGTTCTCCGTCTGCTTCGGGCTGTTTTTAATAAGGAGGTCGGTAGTCTTCTTTGTTTTATAAAATATAATTAGGTCTACGTTTTGGTTAGGAGTAATGCTTTTTACTCCTTTACGGATTAATTCTTTCATTATTCGTTCTTTTTTTTATGGTCACTATGCATGATAGATTTATAATATAATTATATTGGAGGTGTTGTAGTTTCTGTTCTTGGTTCAGGATTGTACCATCGATCCAGATGTCGTCTTATTGTAGTGTTTATTTCTGTGTTGCTATATCCATTGTTCACCAACAGCTGGGTTATTATTTCAAACTCCCTACTCACGTTGCTCCATTCAGAGCAGTGGGTAAGAGCTCGACGAATATAAGCATTAAGAACACTGGCTTTGTATTTTTTGGGGCACTCACTCCTTCCGTTTAAACAT